GAGACAATAGCTTAGGCTGGTACTAAATGGCTTTGAACTTTATTTGAATGGATTACGCGCTCCGGAGCGCGTCATTGTTACGCGCTCCGGAGCGCGTCATTATTACGCGCTCCGGAGCGCGTAATTGACTTCAGTATTTACATGTGTTGAAGAAAGTACGTTTCATTTAATTACATGGGATCACCAATACGAGACAATAGTCTAGGCTGGTACTCAATGGCTTTGAACTTTGTTTGAGTGGATTACGCGCTCCGGAGCGCGTAATTCTTACGCGCTCCGGAGCGCGTAATTGACTTCAGTATTATTTACATTTGTTGAAGAAAGTGCGTTTCATTTAATTACATGGGATCACCATACGAGACAATATAGTTTAGGCTGCTACTAAATGGCTTTGATCTTGATTTGAACGGATTACGCGCTCCGGAGCGCGTAATTATTACGCGCTCCGGAGCGAGTAATTGACTTCAGTAGTTGCATGTGTTGAAAAAAGTGCGTTTCATTTAAATACATGGGATCAGCATACGAGACAATAGCTTAGGCTGGTACTGAATGGCTTTGAACTTTATTTGCATGGATTACGCGCTCCGGAGCGCGTCATTGTTACGCACTCCGGAGCGCGTCATTATTACGCGCTGTGGAGCGCGTAATTGACTTCAATATTTAAATGTGTTGAAAAAAGTGCGTTTCATTGGGTCACTTTACAAGACAATAGTTTAAGCTGCCACAGAAAACTTGAGGCCGGGGGTGGATGACGAAAGCTAGCGGGGTAGGAGAAAGAAGGAAGGGAAGAGGTGAGTTGCGGAGGGACTGTCATCATCGTGTCGCGGCATTGTTCGTCCCAACGAGGATGCAACAATGATATATTGATATATGATATATAACAATGATATATATGGGGGAGGGGGCAGGGGGGGGCCCTTTCGCGGGAAAAATCACGTGATGTCCTTGGGGAGCCCCGGAATACGTGCTAAAGCAAGAAGACTCTAGCGAGCTGACGCTAGCTTTCGTGATAATGACAATAATTGCCAATAATGATAAAATGTAATTGAATAACGGTGTATGATGATGATGAATGATGAATGATGATGATGATGAATGATGAATGATGAATGATGAATGATGAATGATGATGATGATGATGATGATGATGATGATGACGAGGACGAGGACGCGGACGATGGAAGAGGACGATGGATGTAGATGATAGATGATAGATAGATAGATAGATAGATAGATAGATAGATAGATAGATAGATAGATAGATAGATAGATAGATAGATAGATAGATAGATAGATAGATAGATAGATAGATAGATAGATAGATAGATAGATAGATAGATCGAAGATAGATAGATAGATAGATAGATAGATAGATAGATAGATAGATAGATAGATAGATAGATAGATAGATAGATAGATAGATAGATAGATAGATAGATAGATAGATAGATAGATAGATAGATAGATAGATTAGATTAGTTAGATAGATAGATTAGATAGATAGATTAGATAGATAGATAGATAGATAGATAGATAGATAGATAGTAGTGTTAGATAGATAGATAGATAGATAGATAGGATAGATAGATAGATAGATAGATAGATAGAATAGTAGATAGATAGATTAGATAGAAGATAGATAGATAGATAGATATGATGCTGATGATGATGATGATGATGATGATTGATGATGATGAATGGAGATGGATGACGATGACGATGACGAGGACGAGGACGATGACGAGGACGAGGACGAGGACGAGGACGATGATGATGATGATGACGATGATGATGATGATGATGATGATGATGATGAGGACGCGGACGAGGACGAGGACGATGGAGAGGACGATGACGATGACGATGATGATGACGATGATGATGACGATGATGATGACGATGATGATGACGATGATGATGATGATGATGATGGTGGTGATGGTGGTGGTGGTGGTGGGGGAGGGGGGGGGCCCTTTCGCGTGAAAAATCACGTGATGTCCTTGAGCAGCCCCCCCAATACTTGCTAAAGCAAGAAGACTCCAGCTAGCTGACGCTAGCTTTCGTGAATTGAGCTAAATTCCAACAGTTAAAAGTGATTTTCTGAATGATATCAAATGGAGCTTTTGGACGACCCTGTAAAAATGGTGAGTTTCCAGTTCGCAAACCGTGAGTCATGAGTCATAACCAGAGGGTAACCATATTTAAGCAACTAAGACGGTGAGTTTCAGGGTTTGCCCAGTGATGGAGTATACCCCGAACTGGCTATTTTGATAAGGAAAATCATGAAATGAAACCTGAGGTTATATATGCGGGCTCTCCCCCGGGTGGGGATTCAATATATGGCCATTGGCCATGGCTCAAGGTTGGGGGAAGGAGGGGTCCATGGAATTTGTGTTTTTGGTATCAAAAGTTGCTGGAAACTAGTCTCAAATCTATAGAGATGTTCAAGCCACTGAGTCTTGAACGTCTTGGCCACAAAATGAGTATCTTAAATGTGGTTGCCAAAACTGTTTTGGTGCTGTTTTTGTTATCCCAAAAAAAAACCGAGGATTTGCTGCAGTGCAGTCATCCGTTCTGAACCTGTTGTCATCCCATCTGGGGAATCCCGGCCACCGTGGTAGGCGATCCCTATCAGTGCGTCAACCATGTATCAATGATCTTCTTTGGTCGCCCTGCCTAGGGATATGATATGATATGATCATGAACCATTGCTTCCACAGAGATCCTAGGAAGTTGTGTGAAACATTCATATTATCCCATCGTATGATTGATAGATTAGTATAGATTAGTATCATCTACTGTAATCCACACCAATTCATTAGTGTTATCAATGTTCAATTATCATTCAGTTGTAGTCTGGTGAAATATGGTGAACCACAAGGGATGGATATAAATGCTAAGCCTGGTATGTCGTAATGTCCTGAGAAAATCATCAGCAACCAGGCCACTTTGGAACATTGCCCCAGTTGGTTGGCGAAGGTTGGTGAACATAGCTCCAAAAACTGTTGGGTTTATGATAGATATATCTATACTTTTTGTGGAGGTCGTAAACCAACTTAGCTATCTAAACTATGGGGTTGCACATTGTGCATGAACATTTCCACAAAAAAAAAACATCTAAATCCCATTCAGATCCCACAAAAAAGGGCCTTTCCGTTTTGTCCCCAAATCATCTAAGTCATGGTCATCCATGACTTTGTATAAGTATTCGTACAGCCTCGCAACCACGGGTTTTTCGGAAAAAAAAACACATCCATCGCCACGCGGCGGAACCGAAGCGCCTCCTTTTGTTCTGGGCTGCGTTGCTGCAAGATGTGTAGCCTCCAGGCCTGAACGGCGTCAGCGGCATTGGATTTTTCGGGATTTTTCACGGGGCTTAACCAACTGAATGCCAACTATATGAGTTATGATAGCTCTATATATATATATATATATAATGGTTTAATGGCTTGGGGCTACAATATTTTACAATGTTCGTATTATAGTTATGATAGCTATAATCTATAGTTGGTTGATGGGTTTACAATAGTTGGTTAATAATGGTTTATAATCTATAGTTGGTCAATGGGTTTACAATATTTTACAACCCTAGTCTGGTTGGTGGTTGACCTACCTACCCCTCTGAAAAATGATGGAGTGAGTAACAGTTGGGATGATGACATTCCCAACTGAATGGAAAAATAAAATTCATGTTCAAGACCACCAACCAGTGAATAATATGTCACAACATATGATGTGTTTTTATGTGTGTTTTAAGTCAAAATATGTTGTGACTAATTGAATATGTATATTAATCTTATACAACTTATATGTTTGCATTGATAAATTGGCATACATTGATTATTTGATGAATTTATACTATATTAATGATATAAAGAGTGATAAAATTATATGAAATGTATAAATAATGTGTATAAATTAAACATGTATGTTTGAAAACCCTGACAAATTGATAATATATGTGCATGTGAATACTATCTATCTATCTATCTATCTATCTATCTATCTATCTATCTATCTATCTACCTGGCTGTCTGTCTGTCTGTCTGTCTGTCTATCCATCTATCCATCCATCCATCCATCCATCTATCTATCTATCTATCTACAATTAGATTCTAATAGGTGAGGATATGTAATATAATTGTATATATAATTATATATATATGTATATGCGTGGATATGATTGGGTGAAACTATAGATGTGTGTAAGGATATGGAATAACATGTGTTCATATACTGTCTACATGTGTATATACATATATATTATATATATAGAGACATCTAAGCAGATCCAAAACAATGGAAACGATCTTTGTTTGTGGCGGTTGGCACAAACAAAGAGGGTACATTAATTAAGAACACTGGGGTTATTGTGTAATTAAAATGCTGGTCATGGCACATAACGAAGAAAATGAATGTTTTCCCATGAATTGTACCTTAAGCTGATCTTGGATTTACTACTTACAGTATACATAGGTATACTTTAGTTTATATGCATGTTTCCACTTGGAATGGACATGTTTGGGGTATGCTCGAGCGGAATGTACATCCCAATTTTGGATAAGCTCACAAATTTCACAGACCCCACTTTTCACTTCACCCCACGTCCGTCACGAATTTCGGCGGGTGAAACAACGAACCTTGGGGGCCCGGTTACTGCGTCACTGTACACTGTGGGCGCGGCCCCGGGGTGAAACAGGGTGAAGCCATCTGGAAGTATCGTGTTTCCATTTGTATCAGTCATATCTATGTGTATATATATATATTGTATATATATATATATACAAAATATCTGTGAGCATGTGTCTTCATTATAGCATTTCTCTAGAAGCTACTCTATGTGTATCTGCATTACTATTAAAGCATACATATGTATAAAACTATCTATGTATATATATATATATATACATATAAGTCGTCATATTCGTATCATCCCCAATTAGGTATAGGATTTACACCAAGCCATATTGAATTTAGTGGATTACTAACCTTCAGGATCTTCAGGATGCATCTGGGCTCTCATCCTCAGAGAAAACTGGATTCGACTCCGAAGAACCGCAGGTTGAACAAGGAACAAATGTGGAGAAACGATGGTTTCACTAAGATCTGTGTTGAGACTTACTGGGGATACCAATCAGATTTAAACATCATTTAATCGATGAAAAGAGGGTCTAACCTGGAAAATTTGTGCATTTCACCAGCAATTTTTTCAGCACTCTTCAAAACCCTTTTTCATGGCCCTTTCTGGGATTTCCCATGGTAAGCCGCAATTAATATTGGATAGTATAACCATGTATAACCCCATAGAATCATCAACCAGTAGGGCTAAAATGAACAGTGCAAAAATTGAACTCACTTCACCATGAAAAAAATGTGTCTTTTTACCTGACTCTGGTCATCTAACCCGAAAAAACACAAGTCACAAGAAACGATTGGTCCGAAAATTGGGTAAACCCTCCAGAAATTGTGTTCGGGAACATGATAGTAGAAAATAATCCTTGAATTCTGCAATATTCAATTTTTTAGACAAACCCATCTTGATTTTCGAGCCCTGCCCTTTTTGCTTGCCAAAGGAACTTCCATACATAACCAGAATAACCAAACAAAAGTGGCCAAATCAACAGCAAAAATTGAAGGATACACATACAATATAAAATCTGAAGTATTATTGTGTTCTCATGATTTTTCCACTTTATCCCCATCAAATCCCCATTGTCATTGTATGACTTTTCGGGGCGGTCGAGACCGCCGATTGTTTTGGCGAGGTTCTTCATTCGGATTTTCGTCCTCCTCCGCTTCCTGCCAGACAACGGATGTCATCAGAAAGCAATGGTTTGGTTTTGGTCCATCGAAGAGCCCATAACCCAAATTTGATCGGTCATAATTGACAATCCCCAACAAACCGGGTAGGGTAGTACAATCCTCAAGGTTCAAGAACTAATCAAGCATCATTTATCGCTTATATCTGCATACTGTTGATGGTTAAAGCCTCTAGAATCAAATTTGATGGTTTCATCATGTTTCAGCCCCATAGCAATTACTTCATCAATCATCAACCAGTCAACTAGTCATCAGTTATCAGATGTTATCATCGATCTCTCCATGTTTCATGATTAAAACAAACATATGCATTGCCAATCTTAGATAGCATGTTAAAAATAAATTGTTGGCTGGTTAGTAGATATTTCTACAGCAAAAGGTTAAAGGATCAGCAACTACCCATCCAGTTGGTTGACCCAGAATGCATATGCTGGTAAAATCACCAAATATCATCAAATATCATACTTCATCATTTATCAACTATATGTAGATATCCATAGTTTATTGCTTAAAAGCCCATTAAACATATATATATATATAATCAACATTATCAACCATAGCCATACAATCAACGTTATTAACCTTATCCAACATTAAGCATTTATATCATTTTGCTGCTTAAAACAATTTTTCTGTTAAACAAAAACAAAAACATCAACCTTATACGGTTAGCTTTGATGTGCTTTTCTTGTTTTGTCCCTTTAGTTCCATATGTTGGTGGTTAAAAGTCCAGTAAACAAACCCATCAACATTCTTAAGCATATCCATATCCATATCTCCATATCATCAACATGACTAACCATATTCTGCTGCTTAAAAACCCTTTACAAAACCCACATCGAGAACGGTTTCTGCTCGCCTCGTCCTTGCCTTTCTTGGCTCGCGCCAGGCGCCGCCGATCCGACTCCTGCGTCTGCCTCGCTGCTTGAGATGTGACAGCTTTGTGAAAAGCTGGTGGATGTTTCACCAACTACCAGATGTTAAAGATGTTTTTTTGTTAAGATATATGTTGAAGATGATTTAAGATATCTGGTGAAGATTTTTTTACGGAAATAACATATGTCCGATGTCATTGGGCTAGTTTAGGGGAAAGATCTGCAGACATGAGGTTTTCTGCGCATGTTCCTTCAAAGAAAATCTGGTAACAGCTGATTCCTTCAGGGCATTGAGTAGAATATAGTTTTTGAGGTTTTTGCCTACAAAAATTGTGGATTGAAATGACTTCAGGAGCAAAATTATTGTTGCGATGGTTGTCCCTATTATATCCCCATTATCCTCAGTATATAGGAATTATTGACCATGTTTTGCCCAGAAAATTAGAGTATTCTCGCTAAATTACGATAATTACATTCCATTGCATCCCATTAAACAACCATTAACATCACCACTAATGTCCAATAAATCCCGTTAAATCCCCATTAAATCACCAGTAACATTACCATTAATTTATATTAATGTATAATATATAAATCTCATCAAAAATAACCATGAACATGTCCATTAAGTAACTATTAATATCCATCAAATATCCATCAAATGACCATTAGATATCCATGAAATAACCAACAAATATCTATTAAATGTCCATTTATACCATGAAAATTTCCGTTGACATCACCATTCCCATAAAATCATCACCTGAAGGGTTGCTGAGGCACCGATAGATCAACTTGGCCGGTTGCTTCATCACCATTGGCAGCGGCGGATCCGATCCCTTCCTCAGAAGAAAAGCCAAGTCTATGATTTCCTTGGGAAAATCATGGGAAATTCTCTAGTTTTTTCTGGGATTTAATGGGAAGTTACCTCTGTTTCTCGCTTTTTGTAAATGAAGAATCACGTACTGTTAGTGTTTTTCGTATATAAATAGTTTTCGTGAGGTTCTTTCTACATTTACATTAACCACATAGACCTTGAGAATCGCAGAATTTCTAGAGGAAAGTAGTCTTCTAGCCTAAAATATGGAATCTCCTGCTGGTTCCCTTGGGAATTGCATTTATAGGCTTGTCAAAAGGTGGATTATTTGGGGGTATACTCGGTGGGGACAGTCAGTGGATTTTGACCAGTGGAAACCATGTTGAAATTACATCTAATATATGCCGCATATGCCCCAAAAATGTATAAGGAAATATAAAGGGCGATAAAGGGAGATCTGGGATGAGAGGGACCCAGTTGTTGTTGATTCTTGGAGGTTCCACCGGGTACTAAGCCTGAGATGTTGAAAAATAACCTCAACAAGTCGTGAAAATTCGTTTATATATATATATATACATATATGATGCCAGATTACCAACCGGTGTGAGGCCTTCCACTGGACTGCATGGCACGGCACGAGTGTGACTCATATGCCTTGGAAAAAAATATATATACACAATATCCCGAAGCCCTCAAGCCCAACCCCCTAATGTCCCAGAAAAAAACCCAGCATCCCCATGATCGTCCCGTTATATCCTGCCTATACTATATATTCCCATGATTATCCCATCATTACTGGTTAAATCCCCATTCTACCCCCAGCTTCCAATGGTAGCTGGTGAGAAGAAGCATGATGTTCCTATATGTTCACATAAGAATCACCCTTTTTGCTGATTGCAGCCCCCTATTTCGGTTGGTCAAAGTGGTCAAAGACCAAGAATTCCCACTAAACCAACAACCCCTTCAACAAATAATCAACAACTATATATTACTTGTTCGTGATAATTGATAATCCAAGAGAATAACTATCCACAATCCCAACAAACAAAATGGTCGCTGAGTAAACCAAAAAAAACACACACACCATCAGCCCATCACTACCATCAGAATTATGCGTGTTGCTACTAGGGATATTAGAATCAACATCACTATACTCTTCAGTGGAAAACCCAATCCCATCCGAACTTGGTGAAGCTTATTACCATCCCATGATGTTTGCCATTTGAACTAGTTTGGCTGTTCCTATTGTTGTTGCCATTGCTTACTCTTTTCCATGATCCTCCCAGTATATTGGAATCCCTATCACCCCTCGTCCATCTCCAGTGCCAGGCATAAAGATGCCATCATTATCGGTAATATTGTATTACAACGTGTACATACACATTAACTATAATAATTCTATCTGGTGATTACCTATATATATATATACATACATTAATCATGATCATTATCACATATGATTAATTAGATAAATAATAATCATCATAACAACCACAATAATAATAATCATAATAATAACACTAGTGACAATAACGACAATCATGATCATTATCATTCTTATAACAATAACTATATAATAAGAGAAACAACATCCCCCAAAATATATATCCATTTTATTCGTCCATATGGGTTTGTCTGAAAATAGGGTATATTCCCAATTATAGCCAGTTAATAGGGATAATGATCATTAACCATTGGGTTTAGGGGTACACTATTTTCAGACCCACCCATATTTTTTCCAGGCATCTGTTGCGCGGGCGCAATGGTGCAATGCTTCATCCAGGCCGGTGGCAGCAGATCCACCGGCGCCGAGAACTCCTCGTCCATGGTGGCCGCCGTGCGCGTCAAGGCGCTCATGTCCTGGGGCGTCAAGGCGGTCGCCCGGGAAGCCGGTGGGGAACCCTGGGGGTTGGCCACGGTTCAAGGGAGCTTGGGACCGGTTGGGAGATGAAAATTCTGGGAAATCTGGAGTTAAGCCTGGAAAAATGTGGGAAGAACGGATGAAATTTGATCAATTGGACTATTGGACCTTGGGTTTGTCACAAGTTGGAGTTTTCGGTCTGGGAATTGTGATTCTGTCAGACAAAATGAGCAGACATGATCGAACACATAAAAATCTGGATTCAACCAAACAAAACTAGTGGTGAAATGGCTAAGGAAGTGAAAGTATGGATTGCAACAGCGAACAAAAACCTGATAGCTGATATCCGTTCCACTCAACCCAGGCTTACTAAAGTCTTACTCTCAAAGTGGGGATCATTCCCACTATAATGATCTAATTTTCTACTAGCAATTGGAATATTCACTGTCTTGTGGACCCCCCTGTTGTCAATCTGGGGCTTTTAATTTATCCTTGATATTCCCCCAGGACATCCCCGGGAATCGGATTCTCGGATTTTTTTTCAGTTATAACCATGCGCCGTAAATCCAACATTTAGTCTAGTTATAAACCCACAGAAAACTTATCTAACTAGGCTAAGCCCATCAATATATCACCCCCACTTCAACTATCGAACTATCCCACTTATCTAGTGGTTTGTTGATAGCCCATCTCTAAGACCCACTCCAACTGGTAGAATTCCTGGCGTAAGTCCTGGCTTGTGAGACGCTTGGCTAACCCACCGTGCCCAGGTGTGGGTCCAAGTTTTATCACATTTCTGCTGGGTACCCTCCGGTACTCGAACGTAGCTGGAAAATCCTCGAACTAAATGGAGGTTTGTAGCTGGGAAAGACTTCGAACAACAAAAATAGTGGATTTTCCAGCTGGCCATCTTTGATGTCCAAAGGGTAGATCACCATTTTTGCTCATTAAAAATGGCCTCCATTATGTATTGGTGAAATCCCAGCTGGCCATTGTTGGTTTGCTTTTATTATCCCATGAAATCCACTGGAAATCGATGTTGTGGACATATCCCCTTTCTATCCCCAGGAAATATCACCATTTTTAACATTCTTTCCCGAATTGGTTTAAGTTTATATTCCATTTCTATGTCCAGCGCTGTTGTAAGCCCACTAAGTCACTATGCCTGCTCCTCAGTTTCCCCAGAGATTCCCTCAAAAAAATGGGGAGATCACCATGAATATCATGTGGACTCACCTGGGCCCCATGAGTTGTGAAAATCTATCGGCTAATTCCCATAACTAATGGGATTAAGTTGGACTAGATTAACAACTAATGTGAATCATTGGGATAGCTCCATTTCAATCTTAATTCCCACATTTGCTTAATCTCCCCACTATTTGGTGTCCAGATTTCATAGAAGTCTTTCGTGGTATGTCCATCTCATTGATTCCTATACTATGAGATATTCTCGGTATGAATTCATCCCATACCCTTTTTCCCATGATTATTCCACTACAAGTACTGATAAGGACCACTACTGTAAATCTCATGAAATAGTTTTAATCCTGGTTGTTGATGCAAGTATCTCAGTATCTCCCAATCTCAATCTTCATCCAAAAAAAGAAAAAAGTGAAATACGCCATTTATCTCAAGTATTCCCATATCATTCCTGGTTGGTGGTATACCTACCCCTCTGAAAAATATTAGTCAATTGGGATCATTAATCCCAATATATCTGGGTAAATTATAATAATTCACTAACCTGAAATAAGGCCATTTGGGGATGATTCCCGAATCCTAACCATGATTTCCAGGGTTCGGTCGCAGTGAGGTCATTATAATTTACCCAGATATATGGAAAAAAGAAATGTTCCAAACCACCAACCAGATGAACACTATGGGAAAATCATGGATAATATGATGATATATGGAGGTTTCCAATATTAGGTGCTTTGGAAAAAAACATCTTCCAAAGCACCAACCGGATTCCCAGATTCCCAGATTCCCATTGGATTCCCACGGAAATCTCCCCACTTCCGGCTTCCAGGACCAAGTCTCCAAGTCCGTCTGCGTCATGCTGCGATCCTTCTTGGCATCCGCTTCACCTGAAGTTACCGAAAGAAACCACCGGCTGCCTGCAGAAACAACGGTGTTCGGAACCGCAAAAAACGATGACGCCATCAGTAGATTATGACGGAATTAAATTCCCCAGAAAAGATATAGGCATAACATAAACGACAATTATGTATTTTGAATGGTGGATTTTACTGTTCAACGCATATCTGTTTATGTGAGGTTGCTATTTCTGCAGCGGAAAAAGTAGCAACTCACACTTGGGCTCTACCCTTTTATCTACGCTGAACGAAGTCGAAAACGGCTGCAGATGAAACAAGTCAAGGTGAACCAAACTACAACTAACTAGGGGTCAGGTTCCAGCACGCCTCCCGACTGATGAACTGTTGTCACATCAGGAGTACTGGAGACACTAAAAAGGTGGCTCAAGCCGTTCTACACAGCGAAGGCGATCTTCGATCTACCTGCCACATACCTGAATCCCATCAGGTCCATCATTTGAACCATCAAAGTCGCAGTCACAGGTTTGGTGAGTATGTCTGCCAAGTTCTCAGACGTATGCTTCTTGGTGAGCTTGATCAACCCATTGGTCACATAGTTCTGGATCCACAGGAATGCAGTGTGAACATGTTTCACACGCCCCAATCCTCGACGGGAACTCATCGCAGCTCCTGCCGTCGCATCGAAGATGAGATTGATTGACAATCGAACGTCCCATTCACTTGCGATGGACTGCTCACACAGAGCTTCCGATGCTGAAGTAACCAAGGCATAGAATTCAGCCTCTCCTGATGAGAGCGCTACCACGGCTTGACCGCGGCACACTGATTTCAGCAGGTTGCATCCTGCCATGATCACACATCCCGATGTTGATTTCCTGGTGCGTATGCATCCGGCATGATCCGAATCGCTGTAAACATCCAGTCGAGTCAGGATGCGTTGACGACGAAACATTTGGATCACTCGAGGTGAGTGTAGGAGGTACCGGCTGCACCTTTTGAGCAACTCCATGTGCCTCTCCGTAGGCGCTGACATGCCCTTTGCCAGTTCTCTCGTCACTCGTTGCAAATCTGTCCGGTCCTGGGATATATATCCAATCCTCATAGTACACGACCTGTACAAGGTCGCCTCCTGTTCAGATAGCATCTTGTCCTTGACGTCCACGTTGTCCGGTGGCTCTCGAACCAACGGTGTAGTCACCGCTTTGCTCACTCCCAAAGCCTTTACCACGATGTCCACGTGGCGAGGGTCAGCCTCGTAGGAGATTCCCTCATCAGTCCACTTGAGAATCCTGTTCAAATGGCGCATTTCTTGCACCGTTCCCAGATGTCTAGATTCTGGCGGACCGAAGATTCCACGCTCTTCGATCATCCATGCTGCTTTCAGCTCCTGTGAAAACTTTCGCAGCTCATGGATAGGTCCTAGGGTGACGAAATCGTCTCCGTGCACTGTGCACCTCAAGTTTCTCCTGGCATGGAGAAAGTTGCACGGTGTTCCCAAGGAACAAACGAACCCAAGGGACTCGAGCAGTTTGCGTATCGTCTTCTCCCAGTTGGAAGCGGCATCCCGCGTGCCGTACAGGCTTTTAAGAAGCCTGCCCACTTTGTCTTCCCCAGGTCTTCGCACTTCCCAGGGCAGCTCAACGTGCAACTCCCGAGTTGCATCGGACACGAAGTGTGCCCTTTTCACATCAATGAACATGATGTACCACGGCTCGGTGCGAGGACGAACCGTCCCATCCACACCGAAGAACCGATCCACCATAGCGAGCGTCAGCAGCAATTTGAAGCTACTGAGAGGTGGCATTGCCGCAAAGAAATCGGCTACCAAGGCACCCTTGCTGCCTTTCTTTATCTCCTTGCCGACATACCGCGAACGGTATCGGGGATTGGTGGAATCACCTTTGTTGATGTCGACCCATCTGCCTTTCAGCACTGGCTTGTCACGGGGTCTGTCCACTTCTTGCCACACGCCCATCTTGCGTATGAAGTCAACTTCCTCTTTCCTGGCTTTGACCACCCGGTCGGGGTCTAGTTCTCTCCTGGAAATATCGTCATAGAATTCTTCGAAGTGAGCTTCGAAGAAATCTGGCTCTTCACACACCGGTCGGGTCTCTCCCCGCTCTGTTGCCTCATCGATTATGGCACACACGCACTCATCGTGGTGCATCTCAATCAACTCATTGATCGAGGCTTCTGTGTCGATCACGCGAGTGTCGACCACACGCGCCTCTTGCGACGCTTCAATTTCTTCTTCGCCTCCTCCCTCATGCTTTCTCTTGGAGGGGCTGCCTTCTGTGGCTCGCCTCCTAGTCGGGGACCTCTCTTCGGTCATTGGGCCAGTCTCCACTGACCTCTTGGGACTGCTAACCTCTTCTCCGGCAGCGGCCGAAGCGGCCCTTGCCGTTAGAGCAGGTCCGATCCTTCCAGACTTCGAAGGATCCGATGCTGATGATGCCTCAGCTCCACCAGCTTCCTTCTGGTCGACCACCACGGCTTCCGCTTTCTCAGCCTCCTTTTGCTTCTGCGCTGCAGCTAACTCGGCTTCCGCCGCCTTCAGCAAGGCTCGATCGTATCGTTCCTTCTCCACGGGGTCTTCAGAGACCGCTTTCTCCAGTCGAATCCGGCAACTGGCACTGTGAGCTATTCCGGGCTTCCTCTTACCGACTCGTGCGCTGTCGCACGCTGGACATCCGGCTGTGTAGCCGAACTTCTCAAGGTTCTTTTGGGTTATGTACAAGTTCCTACTCGCGGGCTCGAGCCGAAACGGCTCAGGCTCCCGAACGTCGACCTCTGGAACTTCTGCTTTTAAGGACAAGGGTTTGTCCAACCTTTCACTCTCGGAACCGTCCGGGTTCCAGGGTACTCCCCTGATCTTTTTCAACATGGCACCATCCCACCGGGCCAACTCCGGTTTTCTTCGCAGACTAACTACCCAGTGAATTCCTTCGGGGGTAGCCACTGCCTTCTCTGTAGAGTTACGGTTAATCCCCACAAAGATACCTGGCTGCCATCGCGACTCCATTTTTGACCGACCGCGAAGTCGAAACTCCACGAGTTCACCCCAAGAAGGGATTGGTACCCTCCAAGGCTTGCCCTTCATCCTCTGATAGGCAGTCATTCCATCCTTTGGAACTCCCTTGTGGTAGAGAGTAAGTAGAGTGGCTGCATGTTCCACGAGCCAAGTGAGTGCAGGATGGTCAGCTTTCAACTCGACCTCGGCGTGGTACTCCACGAACTCCTTCAGGGTTCTTGCCATTCCTTGGACCATTTGGATGGCCCTCTCCGCTTCTCCGTTGGCCTTTTCGTGAGCTTCCACAGGCGCCTCTTCCAGGACGCACTCCCCTTGGAACCCATTCTTAACTCGTTGCAGCATAGCTTGAACGCTGCTTTCCTGGTCACCTTTCAAGATGACACGCTTGTACCCTGTGGACTCAAGGTCCTTCAACAGCTGGTTGGCTCCGAAGGGATTTTCAACTCCTTTGGAAGGCACAGGGTGTGCCCACACCGACTTGGTCCTTCTGTCCCGGACCACTATCACAGGCAAATCTGCACTTCTTGTGGCCGAATCGCCCATGAAACAGTAATCCACCGATATGGTGGGAATTTGCTGTTCGTCAACACTCCTGCGGGCAAAATGCCCCGAAGAAAGTCCTCTCCCACGGATACAAAACGGGCACCAGTTTCGGAACGGCAGGTGAGTGAGGTTGTGCTCGTCAATCTCACTTTGGCTTGGAAGCATCGGGGTCTTTTGGACACCTGCACTTTGAGCCTCATCTTCGTCCACTTCAAACCCAGGCTCGGTTTCCTCATACTCGCCTGCTGGTTCTCCTTGCTGCGGCGGATGCGATTCATCCTCCATTACACTTGGTGAAGGCACAAGGCTTTCCTCTTCGAATTCTCCTTCCACTGGTGCAATGTCAGAATTTCGGACACGATCGAAACGATCCGGTCCGTGGGATTGGCCAAAATGGCTGGGTGAAACTTTTCCTTCTGATGACTCACTCGGCCTTACGGGATGTCTCCCCGCCGGCCGAAAACCTGCTTGCGCTTAACCCAAACGGGCATCTTGTAGACACCGCCCATGACGATCATCTTCAACTTCCTTCCACTTGCCCGATGCAAGGCAAATGATCCTCCGTTCTCTTCACTGTCGTGGACAATCCTCCATCCGGCCGCAACCATTCGGCTGGTGCTGAACAACGGCCTCTTCAGAGGGGACAGCACCACAGCCTCGACCTTGTTGACCTGCCAATCTTCAAAGCAGATCACAGGGCTGGCGCTTCCCAACGCCGTCACTTCGTGGTTTGAAGCACTGGTATACTGCTTTGGCCCAGAGTGATCACCCACTTGGTAACCTTGGACCAGGGATTCCGGAAAGCAAGTAACAGCAGCTCCACTGTCGACAGTGACGTAGACCTTTTCCCATTCGCCGTCGATTGCCGGCTCGTCCACGCTGAAGATCTCAAGGCTCTCCACGGAGCCCTCGTCACGGTAGTGGCGCACCAAATGATGGGCCTCCTGTTTGGAGAACCCCAAGTCCACCAAGCATTGACTCGGTTTCCATTTCCCCCAAGTCTCATCGTCATCCTCAGAGACGTCGGGTTGTCCAACCACAGGCTCCTCTTCGACAACCACCTCCTCATAGTCGTTGCAGGGCACGTCTCGGCTCCCACATGCGGTGGATGGTGGCTCGTCTCTCTGCTCGTTGCTCGGCATCAAAGATGCAATTTTGGCCTCATGCACCCTGATCTCCTCTTCGATCTCAGCGGCTTCCTGGTCGTCTTCTGCCGATTCAAGATTTTGCGACAGGGTCTTGATCTCCTTCCTGGACCAAGCCACGTCTACAAGGTTTTCCAGGTTCGGCTCCTCAATCCTGGCCTTCTTTCTGGCCCAGGCCTGGTCTGCGAGCAACTCGAAGTCTGGCTCTCTCTTCGTGGACCCTTTGTCCGCCGGAAGCGGTCGAAGCGACCCTTTCCGTGCGCGGACATGGGCACCTTCCTTCCATAACTTCGCCCGTTTAGCCTTGCTCCGTTGCCGCAACAGGCTGAGTCTCCAACCCGTTCTCTTGAGGTGTTTGTGCTTGGCCTCGGCTGTGTTGCGCTTCATCCATTGCGGTCTGGACCAATTGCGAACCTTGACTTCTTCCAGAGGCTCATCGTCCTCCTGGCGGAACTCCTTCCGCTCCTTATAGTTCAGAGCCCTCATCACCAAGTCAGGCCGCAAGTCCTCCCGGTCTCCTTCGAACCGACCTCCGTATCGGTCGATCTGGTGTTGGCGGCGAGTGTCCACTCCAGCTTTCCACTCGACATCCTCGGTCGAACCGCGGAACTTGGCGTGCCATTTGTTGTCAAGCTCCTTTCTTTCAAAGGCCCTTTCGGTGGACCCTTCCGCACGGTGCTTTGCCGCTCGCACGCGGCTTTTCCATTTTCGCTTGGACAGCCGCACGCTGTGGCCAGCGCGGATGTCCTGTCGGTACCGTGGCTTCAGCGTGCCGTCCTTTCAGGACCTCAAGCTGTTGCTTTCTTGCCGCGATTTCCTCCTCCAACTTCCGTTGACGATCCTCGTCGGATCCTCCTTTGCTCAGCTCGACTTTGGCTCGGTGAATCTCTCGCGCTTCCACCGACTTCAGGTTGGTAAGGAGAGAGCGGATAAACGCCTCGGTTGACCCAGTTCCTTTTCCTCGGCCTTCACCGGTGGACTTTCCTCTACTGGATTCCTCGTCGGACTTAGGCTTGCTCTCCTCCAGGACGAAAATCGCTTGGATTTCAGCCTCAGCACCCTTTTCTTTGGAGTCCTGCGCCTCTCCTTCCAGAGACTTAATCCCAGGCTTTCCTTTGCCTTTGGAATCTTTACCTTTGTTGGATCCTTTCCAGGACCCTTTGCCTTTGCCGTCAGACTTCTTGCCTTTTCCGTTCTTTCCGCCAGTTCCTTTGCCTTTTCCGGTCCTGTCCCAACAGTCCTTCGCGAGGTGGCCGAAACGGCCACACGCGTGACAAGGCCCAACACTTTGGGAACCGCCTTTGCTTTTCCCAGGCTTGCCTTTGGCTTTTCCTTTGGCCATGGCATCAACATCCATGGCGTCCGGATTGCGCATGGGAACCGACGTCTTGATGTCCAAGTACGTGTCGATCTCAGCCCTCATAGCATCGTAGCTCGCGAGTCTGCTTGCGTGTAAGTCCAGGTGTTCAGCTAGAGAGTCAGGGCACAAAGACTGAAGGCATAGGCGACGAGTGGGATCGCTCAACGCGTCACTGGTCCTCTCTTGGTACTGAGTGTAGAGACGTTCCCACGTCTCGATAGCTCCACGTAGGCTCGACAAGTCCTTGGCCTTTGTAGGCCTCAACACTTTTGCCAACAAGTGGTAGTTGGACTGCGCGGTCTGTGGCTCGTACTCTCGACTAAGTCGCCTCCATCCATCAAGTCCACTTTGGGCTAACGAATTGCGTAGGATAGACAGAGTCTCACCCTTGGTCAAGGACACCAAGGCCGTGTGTAGCTGCCGGTTCACTCGAGCAGCATCATCCCATCCTGGCCTGGTGGCCACTTCAAGCTCTATCGCCCGATCATCCACGACTCCGTTGTAGGCTGCCGCCCACTTCAACATCTCATCTGCTTGTTCGTATTGGGATACGAACCACGTCGTGAAACCAAATGACCATAGAGGCCACTTCTGCTTTATTTGCTCTTTTGTCTCGCCTTGGAGCACCTCAGGTTTGCCGACTCCTTTAACATCGACCACTCCTGACTTGTCCTTGGGTGCCAGCTTTGCCAAGGACTCACTCAACACTCTCACGGACTCAGTCGTCTCTTCTCTCTGCACGCCCAAAGCTTGCCTCATCGCTGCGTCTCTGGCCTCCATTGCTTGCTGATTCTGTTGGATCAGCTGCATGGTGTTCTGGTTGGCCACATGCATTTGTTGGAGCATTTGCGCCATCATCACCATGGGGTCTACTGGCCCTGGCGGCTGCTGAGCCATGACTGGCGAGAGTCGAAGCGACCCTTCGCCGTCAGTCCTGCTTGGGGTACGTCAGAGCGACCCTGTTCAGCAGGGCCTTTGGGTACCTCTGTAGGTGGTGACCCACAAAGGCGAACAACCTCTGTAACTTTCGGATCTTCAAGATCCTTTTCACCAAGGCACCCCAGTTCAACACGGGCCTGTTTGCGGTGGCCCTTCGACAGCAGTTGCCCATTCAGGGCTCCGCTACCATGCAGCGGAAAAAGTAGCAACTCACACTTGGGCTCTACCCTTTTATCTACGCTGAACGAAGTCGAAAACGGCGGCAGATGAAACAAGTCAAGGTGAACCAAACTACAACTAACTAGGGGTCAGGTTCCAGCAATTTCTAGAGCACTATAAAGCCACGAATCATGTCATGTCCATGGATCACTCGAAGTCGTCGAAAAGGGAGATCCGGCCCATCAACTAGCAATTTCTAGAGCACTATAAAGCCACGAATCATGTCATGTCCATGGATCACTCGAAGTCGTCGAAAAGGGAGATCCGGCCCATCAACTAGCTATTTCAATGGGGTCTACAATGACTTGGATTTGCTTAAGGAAACCATCCAAAAAATTTATAACATGACTTACTGGTGCTAAACGTAGGGAATGGATGGGAATGGGGGTTGCTGGGATGATTATTGATAGTTAGCCAGTGGATCATTCCCGAAAATTCCCTGCTAAGCACCAGTAAGATGATAAGACATTGTAAAACATGAAACATTATAAGACACTGTAAAACATGATCAAACAATATAAAACATTATAAACATTCTCAATTCCCCATTTCTGGTGGATTTCCCCTTGGGAAATCAGCCGTGGATCCCGACGAAACAACGTTGTAATCCCCAGCTGTTGGCTTACGATCCCCATTGACCATATCTCCTTAGACCTACCAATAACAGCGAATCAGCTCCTAAACCAACTTTGGCACCCAAAAACCTGGGACACATCAACACAAAAACTAGAAATGATGTGTTCAACAAAAAATGCCAAGTTACAATTCTTTCTGGATTTTCTATGGTTTTCTATGGTTCATTGCTTTTTCCTCCCATTTCTTTCATAATTTTTGGACCCCGGGATTCCATCGAAGTGCCAAGCGACGCTTGGCCTTTTCCATCGCCTGGAGCTGACGGTGCTTTCGCGCATCCTCTTCCTGGGTGTCCACCGACGGAGGGAAACAACTGGAAGCCTTAACCATTCTAACTCCAGTTGTTCATAGCGGTTAGCGCTGGCAAAAAAAAAGGTAATAATGGTTAGGAGTGGTTAGACATTAACTGACCATAGCGGTTGAAATAACGATGGCTAGCAATGCTTAATAAATGGGCAATGATGGGTAATCCTGATAGTTATATAATGCTTAAAAATGGTGGTTCTCCGGTGCCATAAAACATGGCTGGCTGGGAACTCGCCCTGCCAAATGGAGGTTTGAATGGAAACTCATCTATGAATAGAGGATGTGCCATTGCCGTGTTTGATTATCAGAGGGTAGTAAAGTAAAAGTTAGGAATTTTGAACCTAGTGCAGAATTATAGCTGTAATATGTAGTAATTACTTTCGTAGAAGTAGACGAATGAGCAGAATTGGAGGAAAAATTGTATAGTAACTAAGGATAAGCCAGTGATAAGTAAGGAATAGTAAGGATATGTTCCGGTAAACTGGACTATCCATGAATTCAAGTATCACCTAGTTCTAGTAAGATGACAAGTTATGATCTAAGATCAGTAAGGATAGTAAAATCTCTGGATAATTGTGGGTTATTCCTCCAGTTCACAGCGGTTTTCCTGTAAAATTGCCAGGAAAGCTTAGACAGAAACGATATCTTACGCCTATCTTACTATATCTTACTGATTTTGTTCCTTGAAATTGTAACAAAAACACCATGAATGATACCCTCTGGTAAACTAACATAGCTATGGAAAATCACCATTTATGATGGGTAAATCAACTATAAATGGGCCATTTTCAATAGCTATGCAAACGTTTACCAGAGGGTACTAGCATTTTAGTAAAAAAACGACCCAGGACCAGCATTTCTGTTCGCGAAGTCTGCTTGGATGATCCTCTGCTTGATCCAATTCGGGATGAACATCGATCCAAAGGGCTAGTTGGGGCCCGATCCAGGGGGTTTTAAGAGTTGCAACTACCAAACCCCATAGGATCCATGTATGCTGTATATGGTAACATGGATCCCATCAATATACCCCCTTTATGTTAGCATATATATACCATACATGGATCCTATGGGAACCATTTTTTTTCGCGGGGATCTTTGACATATGAAATGCCCATTGTTTCATGGTCGATGAAATGGTGAATTCATCCCGACATCTCTATTTCATGGTGGAAAAGCCTATATTTTTCCCAGCAAAATCAGGCCACTGAACCATTAACAACCCCACCAATAGGCCTTAAATCATTTTTCTGCATGTTGATGGACCTATTTTCATGACCATGACATCGTATTCTTTTTTTAAAAAATAAGCAATGGCCAAAACATTGCCACAACCATGATATGTGCCATGGCCAATGGCCATGGTATATCGGCTATGACAATTCCATCCCATCATCGGAATCTAAATCCCTATGAATGGGAGGATGACAATCCCCTTTCGTGGAAAAATAACCTCTGTAACTTGACCACGACACAATATCTTGTGGTTATACCATGTTATACCCATTGACCATTAAAAATATCCCAGTATATCCGATGACATTTCGAATAAATTTCCCGAAGCTTTGTAAATCCCACGGCATTGTTGGTTAAACCACCTTTTGAATAATCATGAATGACAATAAATAACCATCAACAACCATCAACAACCATCAACAACCATCAATAACCATCAAGAACTAAAGCCATTATAACCGTTTAGCCATACTCAATATATATATATATAATTATATATACACACACACATGGAGGTTTCCTAAAACTCCTAAATCATCCATTTTGATAGAATTTTCCATTATAGACGATCCAGCTATTGGGGATCCCCCATGACAATGGAAACCCATTATTAGCCATATATTAACCGTATATTAGCAGTTATTAACCATACATTAACCATATAATAACCATAAATTAGCCATATTTCATAATGGTTAACCATTAGCCTATTATAACCATATATTAGCAATTATCAACCATTTCTATAATGGTTTTTTAATAAACCATACATTGTTAACCATACATTTGTAGACACACCCCATATAGCTGTCATTCAGCTACCATAGGCCATCCACCATCGCCAAGCATCGGTCATGTCTTCCACCTTCACGTCTTCCTTGGATGACGTGCGCCCGGCCTCGTCCTTGCTGCTCTTCTTTGCCTCCTGCGACGCGACGGGAGATGGGGGATAGAAAGGCAGAAAGGGGATAGAAAGGTTGGAGATCTCGGGTAAAAACAAAGGACATGAACTATACATGTTTCTTTGAAATCACATGCAAATAAATATATATATAATTATATTTACACACACATATGATGTCTGACTTCGAAAAATGAAATAACATGCAAATAGACACCATATATGATCATATATGTGTATGTATACATATATATAAAGATATATCATCTGTAAATATATGGTACCCCCGCCACGACCCAGCTTTTGCAATATTCATGATGTATGTACATATTCACACCTATGTGCAGCAGATAACTATGAGGCACTAGCTCAGTCGAATGTTGTTCTGGATTTATTGTTGCAAGGCACTGAAGCCCTTCCCAAGATCCACAAAGCCTGGTGTAACATACTGGATCCGTTTATTTCGCGATCCATAAAATCCCATTGTTAAAATGTTGTTCTTAGATAATCATTGAGATATTATATGATATGATATTATGAATATCATCACACTCAACATAGTTGGGGCCTGGGGGTTGGGATTCCAAGATGGGAATGACACCGCTATGAGTGGTTTGAACCCCATGTGTGAGTTCTTCGTCGCGCGTTGACTCATCAGTCCTTGTGATTGGAAATGCATCTATAAGGAGAAGATTTCTTTCAGACCCAAATGCAGGAAAAAGAAACATATATAAGTGATGCTTCATGCAAGTTAGTAAGAGTACAACCTCAGTCAAATATAGGTGATCTATTACCCTAACAGTATCTAACAGTACCCCAGAAGAATCCGCAGTAACCTCCTTACCAGGTTGATCCGCCGCCCCTCCCATTGGTTCGACCTGCTTGGGGATATCCCGATCAAAGTTTTCTTCCTCTTCCTGTTTCGCGGGCAGTGGAAAATAAGCCACGGGTTCAATGGGAAATTCCAGGATTCTAAAATGGAGCTACGTAAACGTACCATATGTCTGGCTATATTTTGAGGGGATATTCCCTGAAATTTAGGCCTTATCTTATATATGGTAGGTACCTCCAATTTAGGTTCCTGAAATGGCCATGGAACTTATGACTGAAGCTGATCTATAAAACTATATAATTAAAATTACCATGTTTGTTCATCCATCAACATCATCAACACTGATTGTCCAATGCCACGTTTGATTACCAGAGGGTAGATGTACACATATGATATGTATATGGTAGGTACCTCCGATGAATCACTTCATCAATCGCACTGTGGATTTCACCACCTGCTTCAGCTTCTCCAAACGGATGCGTTCACGCTCCTCCTCCTGGGCCGATGAAAAAATGATACTCTTCGGCCCCCTTGGGGCCCTTTCAATGGTACCCAACAAGTCTCCAAAGAAGTGCTATGAAAGACATCTTTGAATAGAAACTGAATATTCTCTTTAAAAAGGAAGAACATCGGTTTTGATCGAAATTGGATATGTGTTCAAAAATAGAACAACCTATAGATGTTAATAGAATTTGGATATTCGTTTGTAACATAGATTTTAATTGGATATTCGTTCAAAAATAGAAGAACATAGATTTTAATAGAAATTGGATATTCATTCATCGGATATTCATGGAATATTAGTGAGATATATCACCCATGTAACCAACCAAAAAAATGGCTAGGGGTCTAATTTTTTACAACATTTTGGAATGGTGAACTGTACACAAAACTGGTGCTTGCATCCCACGGATCCGGATTGACAATCCATCAGGTGACCCGCATACCCGACCTGGTTATGATGCTTGATCTATGGATCATCATGGGATTACAATGGGATTTTTTCATGGTTAATGATGGTGAATGATGGTGAATGATAGTGGCTAATGATGGTTATTACCCTCTGGTTATGACTAACAGTTTGCCATGGTGAATTTTGATGGCCCATAGATAGAAATAGATGGTTTACCGTTCTGAAAATGGTGGATCTTTCCATGGCGAACTGTGAATGTCATAACCAGATGCTACATTCCAGTAACTGGGGAGATTCCATCAATCTGTGGTACTTACGGTTCTTACGGTAATCGAAACTGGGTCCCGCACATCCGTAGGTAGCTTGTGTGGTGGACATGTTCGCTGCTTAAATCCAAGTGCCATTCTGTTGTTCCCTTCTTAGAATACCCCACTAGCTAAATATCTCAACTGGCTATATTAGGTACCCTCTAGCAATTTAACGTACTTATGGAAAACCACCATGTTTAACAGGTAAATCATCTATAAATGGGCCAGCTATACCATGGCTAAATTAAATTGCGAGAGGATAATATCCCATAGAATGCCTGGTTATATCTCACTCACTAAATCTCCATATGCGCATTAAAAATGGAGGTAAATCCCATATCTAACTCTTGACCCATTCAAATATCTTAAATATCCTTTCAAATATCGCACATTCCCATTTTAAATAATTTAAATATCATTCATATAAATCTCCACATACATTTTTTTATAGGTGGCACAAAAACAGCCAAGGTAAGAACCTAAACCTACCATTCACCTTTCACATGACTCAATGATCGCCCAGCCGTCCTCCTCCTTTGCCATTTGCTTCAGCTCGATGACTTCCTGATCCGTCGCGAGCACATCGCGAGCACAGAGGATGACGGCTTTCAGCATTCGATGAGTGATTGGATTCACTCACCTATATGATATGTTTAGGGTCCACCTATATGAACATATCACCTATGCAAAAAAAAAACTGAGTATACAATATGTGAAATAACTGAACATAGTGACATGGTATAAGATTTTTCTATATCATATCATCGCCTATAATAAATTTGGGCTATGGGATTATTAACACTTCAGGTCTTACCAAAACGGGGAAGCTGTGACATGACAAAACGCATGTGGATGGTTACTGGGATGGTTGATCACATTGGCTTTACCACATAAACAATAAATAAACATAAACCATAAACCACAAAACCAAAAATCAAAAGTGTGGCTGAAAATGACCCCAAATGGTTTGTTGCTGCTTACGTCTCCCACACTAATTCTTTTCCCAAGCATCTGGCAGAGGTTGTTCACCCCATACGAAGATCTGCGCTATGCCCTGCCCGTTCTTTGCGAAGCACGTTCTCCTTAGGGCGTTCAAACAGGAAATCTGCGCATATCAGAAATGCAAATCAAGATGTATCCGACAAAACTGCGGGATAGAAAATTCATGTCAATGTGATACAACAATTCTGAGGTACCTCAGGCACGCCCGCTGTGCTAAACAACTTGGATGACTGATCTCTGGCCCCCTGGCCCAGAAACCGCCTGAGTCAGAACCAACCGTGGATCATAAAATGCCAAATGGGGATGGTTCATATATTAGGGGGGATGAACATCCATAAATCCCATTTACCCTCTGGTAAACTAACGTAACTATGGAAAATCACCATTTTTAATGGGAAAATCCTTTATAAATCACCATTTTCAATAGCTATGTTAAATTACCAGAGGGTACTGTACCATCTATTTGGATGTTCACTGGGTCCAGGGTCTTGATTCAGAACTGGAAATAAATGGTCAATTTCAGGCTACCCTTTTTTCATTTTTCCGAAATTTTATGGCAGCACCAGGCACAGCCACCTGAAGTCCCAAATGATCAGTGACCCTCCAAAAAAGCTGGGTCGGTTGGCTGTCCAGTCTGATCCAGTCCGCAACTTCTGAAACCGTTCTTTCCGCTACTTGGACGGCTAAGTCCAAATTCGCAACTGGCTAAATCACCATGATCCCGATTCCAATACAAGCAATTGTGTTGGTTGAATATTGAATTGTATACCACTATAATATCTATAATCCAAATAAGTCTTAATGTGTGTTTCTCCACATTTGTTGGTCATGTCACCATGTTTGCCGTTTAAACCCCCATTGTTTCTCTGTTCTTCCCCCCAGTCACCACTGGCTCCGCGGGCATCGCCGGGGCACAAGATCCATTGATCTTGGTTGATGGGCACAGCACCCAAAGCATCCGGACACAACCTGGACGAACCCTTCGAACGTTCGGGGCCGAATGTGATCTGCGGTACCCCCCAAATGGTAAGGCTACCCCAAAGGTACCGTGTTTCATGGGAATATCCTGGGAATATGTATGGGAAAAAGAAACTACCAATGCTGGGAATGTTTCAGGGAATTGAGACAGAGGTACTGACCTATGTAAGGCCTATGTAAGGTTTATGTAATGCCTAACCTGAAGGGAATATCCCCACAATTTATGTGGCGTTATAATATGGTAAAGTACCTCCATCTTAGGGTCCTGAAATCCTATCTGCACCCAATCACTAAACATTCACCAAGGTTTGATCTACAGTAGTAGATACGAATATTTTGGTGGTTTCCATATCCACATGTAAGCAGTTACGATAGTAAATCATAGTTAAATCCATACCTCAATCGCCAGCTATGTTATATTAATACACCGAAAAAATGTCTCAGAAGCTTTGAAAAAAAAAGTATTTTCATGGATTCCCAGTGAATCATCAATATATATATATATACCCTCTGGTAAACTAACATAGCCATGGAAAATGGCCCATTTATAGATGGTTTACCTATTAAAGATGGTGATTTTCCATGGCTATGTTAAATAACCAGATGGTATATATTTTCCACTCTTAAAATGGCCTGGCCTAAAAATGGTGCCAAAACATCCCCCATCCGTTTCTCCCCAGCTCCAACCAAGGCGCATGTCACAGGTTTCCCGAAAGGGCGGCTCGCCGCGGAGGAAGATCCGACCCGTCTCCTGTCCGTGTCGTACGTTACCACATGAGGATCATCTCATGGGAATGACCGAGACAAATCTGAAAATGGGATCATAATATATCATAATATTTCATAAGTATCATAATTGTCATTGGTATCTCTCAAATATCTATATATAATTATGTATATATATATAAGCGTATATACTGTATCATCAATTCATGGTTTGACATCTTTTATCTTCAAATTTCATGTTTGATCATTTTCCCTGAAGCATGTTTGGGGCATCCCCCATTTTCAGACATACCCATGCTCATGGAGGTATGCGATACATCAAATGGACATGGAAAATATCATTGAAAATGATAAACCAAAACATCAGGCCACCGCTTATGCATTACTAAATTGATTTACCAATAGGTAAATAACAAACTGGATTGATGTTGTTTGTACTACACATCGGAAATACCTGGTTGCCAAGTCCATCAGGTCCCTGACAAATTGAGGTGCGTGTACTGTCAGTTGATCGCGATGAGCTGCTTCCAGTTCCAGAGGACAACTTCCTGCGCCGCTCGATGATGAAAACTCCACCTCGGCAGCCCATGTAACCTCTGTCCTTTGCTTGAGCTTCACCATTCCGAAAGCCCAAGACCTCCCAGGGTCTTGTCACTGGCTGTTGAAGCCCAAGAGCAAACTTGCCAAAATGGCCATCCTGTAAATGGTGGTATGACCACCTTTCCATATGTGTATCTAATCTAACTCTTGACCCATGTAACACATTTTCCACGATATGGTTCACATATTTTTCCTGTATGGGTATGAAAATCGGCTACGCAAAATCCACTCTTAAAGTTGCCGTTTGCATGGTACATTTGTCTTTAAACACACCAAAGTTTGTTACCATGACACTTTTTTTTTCATCGTGGTTTAAGAGTTTTACGCGTTTTACCATGTTTTTCCCCATCTGCCAGGTGAGGGATGTTAGATTTTATCAGAGCTGTTCTCCTCCTCCTCCGCCTCCGCATCCTCCTCCTCCTCCTCGTCCTCCTCCTCCTCGCAGTCCAGATCCCAGTGGGCACAGCCGGACCTCCACCGCGAGCGCCAGATCCCAGTCAGCGCACTGCCGGACCTCCACCGCGAGCTCCAGATCCCAGTGGGCACTGCCGGACCTCAACCGCGACTTCCAGATCGCAGTGGGCACTGCCGGACCTCAACTGCCAGATAGAATGCCAGAAGATATGCCAGATAGAATGCCAGAAGATATGTCAGATAGAATGCCAGAAGATATGCCAGAAGATATGCCAGAACATATGCCAGAAGATATGCCAGATAGAATGCCAGATAGAATGCCAGAAGATATGTCAGATAGAATGCCAGAAGATATGCCAGATAGAATGCCAGAAGCTTTGCCAGATAGAATGCCAGAAGATATGCCAGATAGAATGCCAAATAGAATGTCAGAAGATATGTCAGATAGAATGCCAGAAGATATGCCAGATAGAATGTCAGAAGATATGTCAGATAGAATGCCAGAAGATATGCCAGATAGAATGCCAGAAGATTTGCCAGATAGAATGCCAGAAGATATGCCAGAAGATATGACAGAACATATGCCAGAAGATATGCCAGATAGAATGCCAGATAGAATGCCAGAAGATATGTCAGATAGAATGCCAGAAGATTTGCCAGATAGAATGCCAGAAGATATGCCCGAAGATATGCCAGAACATATGCCAGAAGATATGCCAGATAGAATGCCAGAAGATATGTCAGATAGAATGCCAGAAGATATGCCAGAAAGAATGCCAGAAGAATTGCCAGATAGAATGCCAGAAGATATGCCAGAAGATATGCCAGATCATATGCCAGAAGATATGCCAGATAGAATGCCAAATAGAATGTCAGAAGATATGTCAGATAGAATGCCAGAAGATTTGCAGAAAATGTATAAATGTCATGGTGGGGATCA